TGTGTGTGTGTGTGTGTGTGTGTGTGTGTGTGTGTGTGTGTGTGTTTGATGTCCCTTGACATAACAACTCTGGCCTTGTTACTGGCACCTCTGCTACCCAGAGTGCCTGCTCTGGCTCTGACGCCCGAGCCCCCGAGAGGAAATACTTCTGAGATATCGCGGTCTCCCCTTCTTGGAACTCTCTACAACACAAGCACTAACTAACTTGATTCAGAACGGTTATTTAAAGTGCCATGCCTCTATTGTTAGTTAGAAAAATTGTCGTTTATGATTCCTTTTTTTTTCTCACCCCTGTTCCGCTGAGAAACAAGTCACATGTTTCACCACATTTGACTTCCTTCTTCCTCGGTTGCGTTTCGTACAGAAGCAGTTTGGGGTCCTAAATGTGCATGCATGTGATGATGATCCATTCGTGTCGCTCTCCGCTTGCACACAAAAGAACACAGCTGGCATTTTTCAAAAAAGTTGACCAAAACTTTTACCGTCTTCTAATACATTTCAGTAGCCTGCAGCACAACTCGTTCACATACAGCGAGGTTTAATGCCCAAGAGTCTCCTGATGCTTATTGCATAACTTCTGCTTGTACCCTGTTGGTAATGTTTCAAAGACAGGACAGCGATAGTCATAACTTTCATGGCAGCACACATTCTCAGAGTGTGTCTTTAAGTGGAAGACTGTAATCAGTGCTATGATGTTGCACCAAAGGCATTCAGCATGTTGGACTGTGTTGCTTTACTCACGCCGACGCACAAATGTCTAAACAACAGCCCAAACCTTCCCAGCACGTCTCTGTTTTAAACAAAGATTCAATCCCATGCTCCTCCCTTCATGAACCAGTGATGGCATTTATCACTGCGAGGCCTGCTTGCACTACCTCAACCAAAGCAGCCGCGCTGGTGAGCGGTTGAGAAACCCCGGTCGACTGTGACTTCACTTCCTGAAATATCATTTGCTTTCCTGTTCACAGCGAGGAGCAACAGGATGAGCACGACAGAACGCATGTGGCCTTCGTCTGTCATGTTGAAACATCTGATTTTCCGGCTCACTAAAACTCGCAGACAGTGATCTTAATCAGTGAAAATGAATTTAAATGGCGGGTATTTTAGGATTTAGCTGTCATACAAAACACATACATCAATTGGCAGAAAATGAATCCTTTCGGTCATTTGTCTCACAAAAATAAAGCCAAACATTTACTGATTTCCTAAAATGTGAGGACTTGCTGCTTGTATCTGTTTTATATCAATATAAACAGATTTTCTGTGGGGTTTTTGACTATTCGCTGCACAAAACAAGACTTTAAATGTGTCATCTTGGACTTTTTTTCACTATTATTTTACATTTCATAGACCAAATCTATTTGGCGAGCACATGATCTGCAGAATAATTGACAGTGAAAGTTGAAGATGTTAGTTAAAAACCCCACAAATAACTACAAGGTACTTTCCCAACAACATCCTTCCCTCGCTCTGAATAGAAGTGCGGGTGCTGCCACAGCAACAGCGCTGGTGTTACGGTATGTTTTGATCTGGTTTGGTACAACAAGAAAATCAGCTGCGTGAATCTTCCGGTGGCAACAGCCACCATGCAGAGTATCGCTGCTCTCTGTCTGCTGCCCTAACATTAAAGGAACAAGTGTCTGGATACCATTCAGCCCGCTAAGGGGGGGGGAAGCAGAGCATCTGGTTATAATACATTATTCTCTGCGAAAGCTCAGTCTCAAATGTTTTCCACACTTAAGGTGCACATGAAAGCCCGTAGAATGTCTTCGGGCTACGTTGGCTTTGCATGACTACCTGCAGCAGCGTTTCTCCGTCAAGCGTTGCGGTAGTGAGGTAAAAATACACTGGCATCCCTGGGAAAACGCAGGAATGTGGAGCACTGTTGGTTTCTCTGTGAACTTTGGACCAGGTAAATTACTGGAGAATTTAAGGGGGGAGTGTCTACCCCCCTCATCCTTTTCTTAGAAAGGAAAAGACACCCATGACTTAACTATCTCCAGACCCATTTGCTGCTTGGTGAGCGACGGAGGGGAGGGGGGGTCTAGCTCATAATATTGACATCAGACTGCCGTTTCATCTCCACGCTGCAGTATTGTGATCAGGTGTCGTGCTGAATTTTGTGGCCTACAGATTGCGAGTTCAAGTCGATAACATGACTTCCTGCAGGTTCAAATGTAAACTCCATGTAGTAACTTGCAAGCACACACACACTCTTGCATGTTTGCTCTGACACACACACACACACACACACACAATTGAAACATACCACCATTCAAAACAAATGTGCGAGGAATCCTGCAACGACTCGCCGCGTTTGCCGGGGGGTTCGTCAGCACACAGGCAGCAGAATGACTGGTTTTACTGCAGATCATTTCCACAACAAAAATAATAGAGCCGCTGAAACAACAGGAAACCCTGCAGGCAGCTGCTTATTATCAAGTCGTAAAGATAGTTTTGACACAGTCCTGTAATCTTCATTATTCCCATGCTGTAGATTTCAGACGAAACACGTGTGTCTGAATGTGGGGAAATACCTCTGATCCAGTGTCTGGATGGATTCGGGCTGTGAGATGGTAAGCAATCCTTGAAAGTGAATTTCAGTAAAAACAAAGAGTGACATCATTGCACTGGAATTTATTGTAGGAAGGTCAGTGGGCTTCTAATTTGTCTTCTATTGTTGCTCACAAAGAGTGCCTGATGAACCAAATCACACATCCATAATATATAAGGTGAACCTTCTGATTCAGGTTACTCACTCAAATGAAATGCATGTTGTGGTCAAATACTCACCAAATCTGACATTTCCTTTTTTTTGCTATAGTTTATTAACCCCACATTTGAGGTTGTGAATAACATTTAGATGTATAGCCTGCACGATTATTGCCATAACCTCAACCTGATAATAAATATGAAAAGAAAAGAAAAAAAAGCAAGCAGTTATTGAACTGTTACTGGTGAGTTAGTTGCTTTTAACCACTGAAGTTAAACAGCAGTGCTTCAGTGTGTGCAGACAGACAAGAGACTTCCTCTAGCGACGGTGATACTGGTCTGTGCATAGCACGTCACGTCCATCTACA